TTACAGTTGTGTGCCACCACACCCATGTATGTGGTCTTGCTTGTTAGGCAAGCACTCTATCTATACATCTTTAGCCTTTTTGTTTGTTTTTCAAACTAAGTTTCAGATGGTACCAATTAGCCTCAGATACTATGGAGTAGCCAAAACTGGCCTTGAACTCTTCCTGTTTGTGCATGTATGTCCACCTGTGTGTGTGTGTGTGTGTGTGTGTGTGTGTGTGTGTGTGTGAACCAGGGTTTGACTTCCTTTGCTTTCCATCCTAATTTGCAGGACAGGACCTCTCAGTGAACCCAGAACTAATTCATTTGGCTAAACTGGCTAACCAGTGAGCCCCAGTATCTGCTTGTATCTGCCTCCCCCGCACTGGGACTCTAGAAGCTCCCTGCTGTACCATACTGGATTTTAATGTGTGTCCTGGGGATCTGCACTCAAATCCTTGGGCTTGCTTGGCAACACTTTACTCACTAAGCTAGCTCCTTGGTTGTGAACTCTTGAGCCTTTGGCTTTTACCCCCAAAATGCTGAGATTACAGGTGTGTGCCACCACATCAAGCTCTGTTTTTCCTTTTAGTACATGGTTGTAATATACAGATTAAGGGGGGGGGATGCCATCTTGAGAGCTTACAAGATGGCTCATTGGTTAAGAGTGCTTGTCATCAAAGCTGGCAAACTGAGTCCCTCCCTAAAAGCCACATGATAGTTGGAGAGAACTGACTCCCAAGGTTGTCCTCTGGCCTCAGTATGTGTGTCCGAGTGCATGCACATTCACACACACAACATGCTTGTTAATAAAATACCATTGCTGGGCATTGGTGGTGTATCGCTGTTAAATAAGGATCAGTATAAACAAATAGGCCGAATAGATGTTTATTCAGGGAGAAATAACTTACAACCTAGACAGATGAACACCAGGAAATTCAACCCGATGCTCTCCTGTCTGAGTCACGCCAGCAAGAGAGCTTTTCCCGGCTCTCTCTCCAAACTCCTTCCACAGGTCACTTCCGCCCATGGCTCCACCCCCCCAATGGGCGTGGTCAGTACCACAGAAAGACTATCTTACTACAGTGGTGCATGCCTTTAATCCCAATACTCAGAGGCAGAGGCGGGCAGATCTCTGTGAGTTTGAGGCCAGCCTGGTCTACAGAGAAAGTGCCAGGATAGGCTCCAAAGCTACACAAAGAAAGCCTGCCTTGAAAAACCAACCAACCAACCAACCAACCAACCAACCAATCAACAAAATACCATCTTATTTGGTCATGGGTATGTAGGAAAGTTTACAACCACAGCATCCTCACTTCAAGGGGAGAGTCTAGTCTGTCATTTGTATGTCATCCTGTTGGTTGTCTTGTGTACATCTTTTCTGGTTAGACACCTGTGAAATAGTGAGGGAAATAATACCCAAAGTCAAAATGGCAGCTTTTGTTGTGAAGGGACATTCTCCAGTAGTTTATTTCACATTCCCAAAGTGTGTACTATTCACCCACTTCATTGTGAATTTTATTTGACTTTGGACATTTGATGTTGGCCGGTTGTCTTATTGATCTTATTTGCTTTCATTACAGTTTCAGGGTCAGCAGGCTTTTTTTTTTTTCTATAAAGGGCTAGAGAGTAAATACTTTAGGGTTTGAGTCTTCATGATCTCCATAGTGAATACTGTAGTTTACACTTTTCATGAAGAACTAAAACAGCCATAGGCAATAATATCTAGATGAATGAGCAAAGATGTTTCAATAGGTCTTGAAGAAAACAGGCAATGGGCCAACCCAAGTCCCTGGGCTATAATTTACTAACTGCTGTCTAGACTACTAATCCTATAAGGACAGAGCCAAAATTGCATTCTCTGTGGCATGTAGAGAAACTGGCCAGGGACACTGTGATGAGCATGAAAGGTTGGTCCTTACATGTGGTGTCTTCAGAACCTGCTGTGTTCACTGTGCATGCTAAGATCTTGAAAGAATCAACCTCTGGAAGAGCTCCATCATGCTGGATTTCTGAATTTGGCTGTTTTGTTGGCTGGTTTTCCTCTTTACCAAGCTTCAAGCTTTGAGCCTTCATCTGGTATTGTTGGACTCTGACACCCTGTAGTAGGTATGAGCTGGAGGGTGATAGTAAAGGATGCTGATGGCACACACCTCTCAAAGCACTATGTCTGCAGACCTTTGAATGTCAGACATGTGGCTCTGGGTACTTGTGGTCTGGTCAGGTTCCTGTGTGTTCATAACTGTGAAAATGCCAGGAAGTACACAATTGAGAATGGTAGCAGCAGAGGTGGACAGGTGCCCACCTCTTCTGTGTCTCCTGCAGATGGGAACTTGGACGTTACCTTCTAAAGAGTGAAACCCACTCATGCTTAGATTGAGGAGAGAGCATTTCAGAGGCAGAAAGAATGTGGTCAACGGCACCAAGGCAGGGAAGGTGTGTCTGCTTTAAGAAACCGAGAAGCCCTGTAATGTGGATTTTGTTATTCCATCTTACAGAGGAGGAGACTGAAGTTCAGCTACAGAGTGTTGGTCAGGACCAAACTCTCCTTCAGGGAGTGTATAAAATACTAAAAAATGGGAAACCACCATAGAGAAACATCTTTAGGTGGTAAAATACAACAAATGTTTCCACTTCAACCCTTACCATGTACAAGTTGATTAGTAATGGATAGAGGTGTGGGTAGCTCACCAGAACAGAGAGTATATTTTGCTTCTACACTAACTAAATCACAGATGCAAATGTATTATAAAACCAAATAAGTGTAAAGTACAATTGACATTCCCAGTGCTGATAAACCTACAGAAGTCTAAAAAGAAGAAACACAAACTCCACAATGAAAATAAAACAAACCCAAACAAAAGCTAATGTGTCCATTGGCCACTGACATGTGTACCAAAGAAAGAATAAAACTGAGTGGACCCAGAGGAGAAAGGGTTGTGCCTGTGCTTGACCACAAGAAGAAGACTCTTTTAAGGGGATGGTAGTCTACAAATTTTACTTCCCAATGAGAGATGGATACATTTCAGAGATAATTTTGGATGAGGGAAAGCTTAAAGTCTAGATGGGCCCTTCTATTTGCTGTTGTAAATAACCCTTATCTAATGATGAAAACAATGGCTAACAGCAGTTCCAGCTGATGCTTGCTAAGTTGTTGCTACAAGTGATCCATCAACTTGAGTACTTTGTATGCATCGCTCACTTAGAGACTTATTTTTATCTATATATGTATGTATGATAACGTGCTGGAGGGTGCCCTCCGAGGCCATAAGAGGCCATTGGATTCCCTAGAGCTGGAGTAACAGGCAGTTATGAGTCACCCAAGTAGGTTCTATCCTCTGGAAGGGAAGCCAGTGCCCTTAACCACTGAGCCCTCTCTCCAGCCTCAATCTTTATACTTAAACTGATGCATGCCAGGTGTTGACATTTGTGTGAATAACTGACACCATTCTGCATGTACGGACTTAGAGCTCACCTTTCCCCCACAGTGCATTGTGGCATCACTCCGTGCTCTCTGTGCTAGCCATGTTCTAAATTGATGTGCACTATTTCACAGAGTGGGACCCTGATTTATTTGTATAATTAACACTCTCTAGATAGACATTAGCTTGCTTCCGATTTTTGTTTTAAGCCACACTAGACAAAAATCCCCATATAAAATTTGAAACTTTTAAAAATAAGATGCTGAGTTTTATATAAAACATGCACTCACATAAAGAGTTCCTCTGCAAACAATTCGTACCCAATTTAGGTACATAATAAGCATCCGGGTGATGGTGGTGCCTGCCTTTAATCCCAGCACTCAGGAGGCAGAGGTAGGCAGATCTCTGAGTTTGAGGCCAGCCATGTCTACAGAGTGAGTCCCAGGACAACTAGGGCTACACAGAGGAATTCCATCTCAAAAAGTGGGGGGGGGGGGTAGTACATAATAAGCTAAAGCACAGAAGTAGAGTTAAAGAGATATTTCTTGGAAAGCAATTGTTTTTGTCACAGGTTAATGCTGAGTTTTGGTTTTCTTCTCTGCAGAGAACTAGTAACACTTTTATTGAGGTGCTATGAAACTTTCTAAGGAACAATATTTATAGAACCCTAAGTCCAGGGTCTGGTGTATAGTTAATACTAAATGAAAGTGGGCTGCTACTGCTCTCTGTACTAAGTACATGGCAGAGTGACACATAGGTTGTAGATGACTGTCCTCAAGTAACCTGAGGAATCTGTCAATATTTTCCCAATGTAAATGTAACTCAGGGTCTCCTTGTTCCCAACATAGACTCACTTTGTGCAATGGCATACTCACAAACAAGTTCTAATTAGGGAAAATGGGTGGCGATAGGCAGTCAGGAAACAGTTCTCTTCAGACAGCAGTGACAGCAGTGTTCCGGCTCAGCCAACAGTCTAAAATGGGGGGGGGGGGGAAATCCATGAATATTCATATAATGCAAATAAATGTATGACTCTTGGTACTGGGAAGCTCTTTTTAAAGTCAGGAAACACTTATTCTTGCTACATGAATCATACCTTACTACTGCTTAGCCTGTTTCATTTTTATTTTAACATCGAGTATGACCCCACTAAATTTGTTACACTGGGTCTCAGAGGTCTATAGTTGGAAATATTACTTTAAGCTTTGTGTGGCCTTCCAGAAAGAAGGATTGAGAGAGAGTGAAGCTTTACAATTACGTTTTTCCTTGTGTGTATTATATGTGGGTACGTGTACATGTGAGGTGACCAGAAGTGACAGTGGGTGTCTTTCTTCTGTCCTCATCCATCCTCTTGTGTAGCGAGCTTTTATATATTGAGCCATTTCCCTCACCTCTTTTGTTTTGTAGTCCTTATCCAGCACTTAACTGATAATGTTTTGTTCTTGTCACATATCAAGGTAAACTTGTAGACCACTATTTGTGAATAATTTGCGTGTCGGTGCAGAGGTGTTCTGTAAAAGGGGTGTTATGACAGGGTGCACCCAGGTACAGCCCAAGACAACAAAGTCACTACTCTCTTGTTTCTTCCTTTGCTCTCCAGGTAGTTCCAGCTTGCCAGCAGAATGAACACAGAAAGAGACTCGGAAACAACATTTGACGAAGATTCTCAGCCCAATGATGAAGTGGTTCCCTACAGCGATGATGAAACTGAAGACGAACTTGAAGATCAGGGGCCTGCACTTGAACCAGAACAGAATCGCATCAACAGAGAGGCAGAGGACAAGCGGGAAACACTCCGGAAAGGTGACCGGGTGAAGGGCCTGCTGATGGTGTGGATGCCACATATATGGGTCATGCCACAGATGGGTCATGGGAAATGTACCAAAGTTGATGGGTCCATTTCATGTGCTCTAGGAGGGTCTCCTCCTTCTTTGATGCTCTCCTAGGACAGAATTGAGAAAGACCCATCATCCCCAATGTGGCGAGGCTGGGAGAACATATCTGACAAGTTCTGTCAAGAAATTAGAAGGTTTGGTCAGTGCATATATTTTAAATGTGGAGTTGTGTGTAGAAGAATTAGCTTGCTACGGCATTCAGAAATCTAAAAAGTATGCATGCCAACCATAATAATAAATTTTTTTAAAGATTTGCCTTGCTAAATTGTCAGCATGAAGTTACTAATAACAAGTGGATGGATACATGATACACATGTGTATATGAATTGATATGGCTCCATTAAGAATTTATACCTGAGACTAGGAAGTGGCTCTGCAGGTAAAAGCACTTGCTTAAGCATGAGGACTTAATTCAATCCACAGCACCCTTTTAAAAAGCAGTGCATAGACACTCACAATGCCTGTAATACTAGTTCAGTGTTAGGCAGGGAAGTTGGGGGCTTGCTGGTTGTTAGCCTAGCTCCAAGTTCAGTAAGAGACTTTGTCTGAAGGAAATAAGGCAGTGAGTGATATAATAGGACACTCTATGTCTTTCCCTGGCCTCTACACACATACACACACACACACACACACACACACACACACACACACACACACACACCTGCACAAAACGTTGATCATACACCACATACTTATGTGTCATGGCCCACAAACAGGTTAACAAGAACAATATCCACATGCAGTCTTTACACTGTGCTAAAATTAATGTGCTTTGGCAAATCTTCAGCCTGTGGGTACCCTCTTTGAAATTTTCTTTTCTCTACTCATCAGAGGTCAGGGGGTCACACAGTGAGGGCTGCTTACCAAAGAGCTCTCAGAGGTAGGAACCCTTTGGAAGAATGGTGTTAGAACATCTCATCAACTGTACATCTTTGGGATCAGGACATAATTCTGAGCCTCTTATTATCCTCTTCAACTTGTTCTTTCTATTGCTTCCTGGCACTTTAGGGGACCTTGGAGTCTCTGTACCTTTTGTTCAGTTACTCATGAAAGTAAAATGGCTTTGGTCCTCCAGAAAGAATTTTTGTTGATTATGTTTACATGTTTATTCTTAAAATATTTTATTAATTCTTTGATAATTTTATACAATGAATTTTAATTATATTTACCTACAGTTCCTTCCTTTAATTCTCCCAGATCTGCCCCCCACTTCCTTACTGCCCAAATTTTAGATCTTCTTTTTCTTTTAATTTAATAACCCTATGTCTCCATCATGTGCTTTCTATATAAACTGTTGGGAAGATGCCATCCACTGGAGCATGCATGTTTGGTCGGTCCACCAGGAATCACTCTTAAGAAAACTGACTCTCTATTCTCCAGAAGCCATCAACCATTGTAGCTCCTCAATTACAGGCAGGAGCTTCTAAACCCATCCCCCTTCCTCACTTAAATTTTGACTGGCTTGATCCTGTGCCAGCCAGCCACAACTGCTGGGAATTAATGGATGTCCTAGTCCTGTCATACCTAGAAGAAGACACTTTTTTCTGTGGTCTTCTCCAACCTTTCACTTTTATAATCTTTCTGCCATCTCTTCCTTGATGACCTCTGAGCTTTGGGGAGGAATGTGATATAAATGTCCTATTTGTGGATGAGCACCCTTCACTGCATTTTGACCAGTTGTAAATTTCTGTACTCCTTACATCCCTTGCATGAAAATGAGAGAGCTGCACTAAACAATGGGTAGAGATACAGATTTAGAAAACAGAAAAATAGTAATAAGAAGTTCATTCCTGTGGCCTGTAAAATCCTCAACCATCGGTTCTTGGCTTGATTTGTAGTTCCAGACACATATTTCCATCTGTGGGACAGGGCCTTAAATTCCAGCAGAAAGTGGTTGATTACCGGCACAGCATTTATGCCACTATTACAACCCTGATCATATCCTGCCACACTGGCCATTATTGCAATTCAGAATTCACAGCTGAGTAAGGTTACTGATGGCTTTTCCCCACACAGCAGTCTTCAGAGCACTTTCTAATAGTAAGAGAGTGAGCCAGCAGGGATAAAGTTCCCCATTCAGTCCCAATCTGATTTCTCCATGTCCTGTAAGCAATGTGTGTGGCGTCATACAGAATTTTTTTTTTAATGGGTCTCTACTTGCCACGAGGGGCCAGTCTACAGCAGCCTATGCTCCTTTCCTAAATTCAGAAACAGGGGTGAAACTAGGGAGCTTTTCCTTTGGAAGGACACACAAGAAATATTTTAGGTTTTCTAGGCCTCACAGACCTTGTCACAACTGCTTTACTCTACCAATAAAGTGGCCCTGAACAGTTGGTCACTAGGGCTACAGAATGTGGCTTACTTTCATCCTTATATTTTGCCCTGTGGCTTCTTTGGTTCCTGCGGCTTACCCCACCCCACAAGCAAATGTGACCTTGTCTTGTGGCTTGTCTGTTCCTGGAAGTAAAAACAAAAACAAAAACTAGATCTTTTCTCTTTGGACCCCAGGCTTGTCTGGGATTCAGTTTTGTGTTTGTTTGTGTGTTTGTTTGTTTGTTTCTCACTGGCAGGAGGAACAGTTTTTATGGCTGAGAGTGCCTCTCTGTGACTTCCAGTCTTCCAGATGTCTCCCCAGCTCAGGGCAAGGCAAGATCCTTTGCTTCCCCTGAAGTCTTGCCCAGTTTGCCCTCTAGGCTTTTCACAAGGACAAGGCTTTGTTTTCTTCCCTGTCACTCTTTGTCCCCCCCCCCCTCTTTTTTTTCTGCACCCATTTAAGCCTCCCCACCACTCCCTGAACAGTCTTTTATTTGTTTTTTGTTTTGTTGTGCTTTGTTTTTTAATTTCATGTGCATTGGTGTTTTGCCATGGGTGTCGGGTTCCCTGGAACTGGAGTTACATGAGCTGCCATGTGGGTGCTGGGAATTGAAACTGAGTCCCCTGGAAGAGCAATCAGTGCTCTGAACTTCTGACCCATCTCTCCAGCCCTACCCTGAACAGTTTTAATCTGTAGAAAGTGACAAGTGCCAGGAGTAGCAGGACATATCTATAGTCCTGGAACTCAAGAAGATCACAGGTTCAAAGCCAGTCAGTCCCAGGTCAGCCCGGGCTACATATCATGACCCTGTGTCCAAAAAGATCAAAGAGAAGAAAAGGGGAGGGGGATGTGATTCCATTTAAATGATGGTATTTCTTCCTAATTCTATTGAGATTGGGTTACTCTCCCATCCCTTACTTCTCCATTGTGGTGGAGTACAGTCCCGTGTGTGTGTGTGTGTGTGTGTGTGTGTGTGTGTGTGTGTGTGTGTGTGTCTGTGTGTGTCTGTGTGTGTCTGTGTGTGTCTGTGTCTGTGTATACAAAAGGATTTAAAGAGGCCTCATTCCACCATAGCCTGTGAGACGCAGGGAGGCCATCCAGTCCTATGGGACATCTGCTCTGTACTCTACTGTCACTTAAATGGGTTGGAACTTCCTTGCCACCTTACACTCAAACACATTGGGGCTTGCTGCCCAAAGTAGGAAGTATGAAACTCAGAATCTTGATTGAAATTAAGATGAAATCACATTGACCTGAACAGGAAGGTGGCCTCTTGTTCCAACAGGTCTGAACTGGCCCTGGTGGGGTGGGGACAAAACTGAAGCAGATGGACAAGTTCATGGGGAGTTCTAGCTGATTGCCCGGTGTGAATGAGAAACGTGTTTCTTCCTCATTCTTTCCACCACTGCCTAGCCTGCTATCATAATCTCGGAATCTCTGCAGTGTGTAGATAGCCTGGGAGTTGGCAGGAGTTTTGTATCTGTAAGGTGAAGGGCAAACTTTTGCTGTTTGTGCCTGGGGCCACACAATCAGATAAATGGTCCAGTGAAGGGACTGGGGTTGGATGCCCACAAAAATGTTGGAAAAGCACATCATGGGTACAAACATCCCTTCTGGTTTTTTCCAACTTAGCCTGTACTTTGTGGTGGTTAGAGCCCTTTACTGATCATTTGATGGCAAATCGTCTTTTTCATAGATTCCTTTCCTTGTTTTTTGGGCATTGATGGAGCTTGGTCTTCTAAAATATAAATTGTTTTAACATTGTGTATGGGGGGTGCGCATGAGAGTGTATATATGGTGTATGTGTGAGAGAGAAAGTGTGAGATGTTATGTGCATGCCACAGCATACATGTAGAGGTCAGTTCTCTCACTCTATCACATGGGTCCAGGGGCTGGAACCCAGGTGGTCAGGCTTGGTGGCAGTTGCCTTTACCTACTGAGAAATCTCTCTCTGGTTCTTGTGGTTTATGTTCCTAGGTGGGGTTTTATTGGTTCTCATTTTCAAAACTTCTTTCAAATGTCTTTGCCTGTGAATTTTAATACCTGCCTGCCCTTTGTAAGCACAAAAAGCCTCTCTGGCCGTTTCCCTGCTGCCCTCCTTCCCTTCCTTTTTTGTTGTCGGATTTTTCTGAAACTCCCACCTGTCTTCCTTGACATTGCACATTACGGGTTATTTACTAGAAGCAACTCAGCTCCTAAGGACACATGAGTAAACTATGAGCCACCAGGGAGCCGAGAAACGCCACACAGCCCAGCCTGAGTCCAGTGGCCCAGTGCCTCAAAGTGCATGAGCCACAGTTATTTCTTTAATGACACAGTCTGCTCTCTTGTTTCAAATCAAGAGAACGCCCCAGCCACCTAAGCTTGCGTGTTAAACTCATGTTGAACAAGAGTTTGAAGAGACCCATTGAAAGCTCCTTTCCCTTGAAGAGAGCCGTTCTTTTGAGCTGCAAAAATGGAGGACAAGTGCTAGCATGCTGCTAGAGCGTGCCAGGAGGACAGATAAGCTTGCAGTAGTCACTGAGGCTTACTCTTGCTCACCTTGAGCAAGGGCAGCCAGATGCTTGCTGGTGAAGGCATGAAAACATCCACCG